TTCAACGCGCGGCGGTACACAACCGCGTGTCAGTCTTCTCGTTCTTTTTTCCTGTAACGCAATTTGAACTCCTTATTCGGGCAGCGTTTAAGGTGTCTACATTTGAAAACACGCTTGCGACGCTGAGTCACCTTGTCTGTTGCGTTTCCGATGTATCGTGTCTCCAGTGTGATCGATTCCAGTCGAAAGTAGTCAGAGAAAAACTACCGAGTGACATTCAACACTCGATATTCTTGTATCAATTTCTCTGGCTCCATTCCAAATTCCGCCAGAACATTACAGAAACCATTCGACAATTAATGTGAAATTGAGAAACCTGCCGCAAGTTGACCGTCGGTATCAGCTAAAATTTCGAAACGCACAGAAATAAACAGCATACTTTGAACGCCCACTATCGACGATGCCACTCTGGACCAACTGGCACGTCGTCTGATCCGCTTTGGCTTCATCACCGAGTGGAAGTTCCTACATGCATCCTTTTTCCGTCATTATTTCACTGTGAAGTGTACGTATTTAATTTCGCAGTTCGCGCTGTCTCTACCATGACTTTCACATTTCTATCCACTGCATTTAATACATACTTAAATTTTCTCTCTTTTCTTAAATCAGGATCCTGATATGTCCTGCAATCTGGCCCAGGAGTTGCAATTTCACCACAACCTTGCTGTACACTGGGAGATTCGACGATTTTTGAGTTGGGAAGTTAATCTTCAGGCGTTGCCCAGAGAATTTAAAATGGAGGATTTCACTAATTGCAAACTTCCCCAGAAACGGGAGAATGCTAATATTTCATCCGAAAAAGGAGATTCATAATTTGGAAAGCTTTGGGTATTGGTTTATACCTCTAAGCGGTTGCTTGGTTCCAATATGCTTTAATAGTATTTTTCCCCTACGAAATCGATACTATTCGTTTTTAGATGCTCTCCATCCTGGAGTCTTGTCCCTCAAAAACTACAAAACCCGAAACGAAAGCGTTATCCCCGAGACAGAGGAACGCACCAGCTGAAATACTGTATCCATGACGATCGACCTCAATCCGTCATAAGGTCTGTGAAATAACTGAGGCCCATGACGGTAGGTGTTCGATCAATGGCCAAGTCCTCACTCTGGCAACTCAATTTAATCATTGCCCTCTTATCATTCAAGGCACGGCGTATTTGGCCTTCATAAAAAATTTCCCTTACACCTTGAGCTCTAATACCTAATACGTTTACAGCTTTAAATTGGCTATTTTCTTTCGTTCAGGAGTATTCGTCCTGGTAAATGCCCACGACGAAATTACAAGGATAATGTACCATTACAAAAGAATGTTTGACACTCTTCTCAGGGGAAATGATGCAGAGGTTAAGAACTTGCTCGGAACTGTTCATCTTACATTTTACTTTAATCACAAAATACTAGTGGACTTTCAATTTCGTAAGAGTAGGTACGAAAGAGAGACCAGGTAAGGATAACCTTCAATGTTCGGTATTCCCCATTATCTTGCCTTGTTCAAAGTTTACTCGAAAAACAGTATCGATGTTTGCATTCCGCCACCTGCTTCCATCACGTTCGAGTAGTGGAGGGAATTAAATGAGTAGAACAAAGCGTGCAGGTTAACCTCTAAGTACATAAGGAAGAAGAATGCAACAGAATGTCAACACAATTAATTGATGCTTGAGCAACTAAGGAAAGTTGGAAACTGTATGGAGGTGTATCATCAAAGTTCAAAGGAAGTTTCGGAGATTTTTCAGTGCCAATTCTCATATCGAATGTATGAATATCATGGCAGAGTGCATTTTCAGGCATTTTCCAAACTCTGAAATAACTTCATTTACGAGAAAGATAATCCAAATGAAATGCATACCACACAGAAAATGGAAATTATGTTTCATTATCACAATTTAGTAGATATGAATTAGAAAATGGTACGGTGACTACGGGACACCCTGTATATTGGCACGATCTAGAGACCTATACATCGTGCCACGATCTAGAGAACTTTTCACACGACTGGAAAAGGTGGAAGTTCTCAGCCACTGAAGGGCATTCGTACCTGGTCTCGCTTCCGTACCAACCGGAGTAGGGACAGTGAAACATAAGTATTTAACATATATCAATATAATTTTCATATTATATTATTCATATTATCACATCATTACATGACACGAGACTGACCCAAAAGGGGCTTTACTCCATGTTTATGGAACAGCAATATATGGTGAATACACTCCTTCCTCGTAGCCTTGGAAGAGAGTCCTCATGAATCCCCTCCTGATCTCCGAAGGGGCCAGAATTCCTGGAGGTACTATAATAAATGAACCTAAAATAACGTTATTCAAATTCGTGCTATAGATATTTATCCTAAAAAACTGTGATGCGTGAAAATTTGTAGTGAATACGATTCAAACTAGCATATTTGAAAAGAAGTGTGAGAAAGTTGTTGGCAAAAAGCCAGGTGGCTTAAAGAAGTAAGGGAATTACTTTGGTCTGGCTTGCCTTCAGAGGCTTTTGTTGAAAAAATTTTTAATGCACTTTACCAGTTAAATAGGCATTTCCAACATGATATATAATCATTTCGGAAATTGTTGTTGCTAATGCCAAATGTTTCTCGACACGACTGAAGCATGTTGGATTTTTCCGAATCTCCAGAAGACGAACAAAAAAATGCATTCGGATTGAATGAGTGAAGAAGAACTCCTAAATGACTTGAATCACCCTTTTAATACCATCGTGAAACATCGATTTTTCGATTGGAAATCTCTATTGCTCCTGCAAATGTATAGGTCCGTGTCTATATCACCTCTGCTTTTACGTCTTGAACCCGTTTTTGTCTCCGAAGGATGGTTAATCACAGCCAGAATGAACCGAAAAGTTTGCACGACACCTAATTTATTCTCAGTTAAATGGAATGATCCCTTCTCTCCACGAAAGTCAATGGTATTTGTTATACTTATTGCATTGGGGATACCTGACTCCTTCGCTTTCTGCAGAATATTTCCCCCTAGTCCATCCGGTCAAGCCCTGCAACATTTTAAGTCCCCAATATTCATTCATTTCAGGAGCATTTTTTTATGAACCTATTTATTGATGTCGGGACCTTGTCGTTCAGTCTTTCCTCGGATCAGTTGTTTTCTCTGTCCCAATTAAAAATTCGTCAGGTCTTACATTAATACCTTCATTTCCACTACTAATAAACACTATGACATGAAATAATTAGATGATATCCACATATTGAGAATTAGTAGAGAAATCACGAATCCAAATTAGACATGGTTCATACACATCGAGTATATGTATCTGTTTCACACATCCAGAATATTTATGGGGTTCAATCATCGAGAATAAGTATGCTGTACATAAATGAACAATATGTTGGGATCTCACGCACCAGGAATAAGTTTTGAATTCAGGCATTGAGAGTATGTACGGAATTCATGCAACAAGTTGGGGTTCACGTATCATATTCACGCATCCAGAATATGTATGGGGCTAACACATCAAGAATGAGCATGGGGTACACACATCGAGAATAAATATGGAATTCACTAATTGAAACATATATTCCTCACCCCCTTAGTTCATACAATTTTTCCTAACAGTGCCCTGGTGCCTTTATGCCCATGGTATAGAAGGATCTATTCCGCTGTTTCCACAATTTTCTGGCGATTTCCTTCACAGGCTTTAGGATTCAAATCACTTTTCTCCCAGGGGCTCCTTTAGGGGCCCATTTAGTTTTTTAATCGCTCGGAGCGAAATTCTGATTGCAGTTCGAGTGTACGAGAGGCTCCTGACTGAGACAAGGCAGTTTGGTCGCGGTTTCTGCGTTCCTATTTTCTTGCAGATTGACCACTCAACGCATGAGTAGATAGACCTTGTAGTAGACCTTGCCGTTTCTTTGCGAACGGCAGCCAAGACGGCTTGGAGTAGTATGCAATGAAGATGGAGCAGCATTTGGGTCGAAATACAAAATCACAGGAATAACCCCAAGAGAGATCTCGAACACTAAAGCCATGAGCGTGCTCTACCCAAGGTCGTCCTGCCCAACTTTGCGCCGAGTCTAAGCAAATGAATATCAATTATATGGAGTCAATCTTTGGAGTTCTCATTCGCCGAAAAGCTTTTTGCTCGTGAATCTCCCTTGGTTTGATGACTACCTTCACCACGAAATTGAACGCAATCGACTTTAATGACATTTCTGCCATTTTGCCAATCAGAAGACACGATCTCGATGACAACTATCGTCGCAGAATTTCTTTTCTTGAAGTCCTCGCAATCGATCCATATATATAACTGGCAGCTTTCGAGATGATTGAAGCCTCTAAAGGATAAAGTCCGCAAGTGACTAGAACCACAATTGAGATACTTATCATTCATGCCTTGAGATATTGAAGTGTCCATAAGTGTGTGCCTATTACAGAGGAGATTCAGCAACAACAAAAAAACGCACTCATTCAGCAATGATAACGGCGCATTACTGAAATTTCGATGATTCTATTCAATTTCCAATTGCCGAATGACCTATCTCCCCCCGACCACCGCCCTCATGAGCGGTTTCGTTCTAAAACTGCTTTGCGAGTAAAATCCTGCTAGGAGAAGGAAGTCAGTTTCTATGGAAAAAAAAAGTATTATGGAAACGATGAGGTATCTCAGCCGTGCCCTTTTCCTTCCCTTCTCATGCGTGTCTTCACCATGTACATATTTTTGAGAGAGCGAACTCTGGCCGAACCTGGGTACTGCTGTTACTGCGGCGATACATCGACGTTCGAAAGTCGCAAGAAACAGAACCTCTTCTCGCTTCGAGGTGCTACGATCTGGTCTAGACGATAACGACTGTCACAGAATGCCCCATATGGTATCATTGCTCGTCTCCCATGAGAAATAACGCAATGGAAATATCATTAAACAAAAAAAGTTCACGATGTGAATTACAAACTTTTGCAGTTGTGAAACTATAGCAAGGTGCATCGAGAGTCTCCGGATTTTTTGTAGTCTAAGTCAAAATGTACCCAAACAGATTATCATTTAATGCCGACACGCCTTGCGATGAAGATGCGGATAAGTTGGTCGAGAGACTCGTATAAGGAGACGAGGGAAATGCCGAGGAACATACCAAGGCAACCCCCGAATTCCCCCACTGCCTGGATGAGATCGTAGGCCTCTTTCTCGACCAGAACTTCGACGATATCCTCAGGGAAGTAGATCCAGATATTGCCATTATCGTCGAAAGAGTTTTTTTGAGTCCCCACTTCCATCGTGTAGCGGAGGCGATTGCAGGGTGGCGGACAGGAGCAATTCAAATCAGATTGTCTCGTGTTTGTCAACAAACGCTGATAGGTGCGGGTCATATTCACGATTTCGCCCATGTTATCGCACAATGGCAAAGACACGTTCATCGACGCAAGTCGACACGACAATTGAGGGTAAATGCCTTCCAATAGGCATGTGTCCATGCACTGCACAAAGAAAGTTAAGATATGCAGAAAGGAAATAAAAAAGGTCGAAGAAACTCAGGTGATGTAACCCATTTCTTACCTCGTCTCTGCTGTATCCGTCCATGGACTCACAGGGATAGTTTTGAGTGTTGAGTTGATGGACATCTTTGGCCGAGAGGGTCACGTGGTTATACGTTCCTGAATTCACCCTGACTGTAGTATAAGTAGACGTCATGTACATGGAGGCCCATCTCAGGTCTCGATGGATGTTCACTTCCCAGTATGTTGTGTGCGTGTCATTTGAACACGGGGTCAAAACAAATTCAAGGTAATAGCCGGAGCGTTCCCCTCCGAATCCTAGGCTGATATTGTGATGGAGTGTGTAACATAGGTTCAATTCGAAATTCTTGGAATTATCTTCTCCCTCGTTAATGAATAATGTGGGCCGCCACTCTCCAACTGCTC